ACCCCGCAACCCGTGGGCTACAGGTTACAACTCAGGAGTCCCCAGAAAATCAGGGCAGGTGAGATATTTTTGGTAGCTTTGAAAAATAGAAACTCCTTCCCTCAGGCGATCTATTTTAATCAGGCTGGAAAAGAGATGGAGGAAAAGGGGGAAAAATGTGCGCACCCCGCAACCCGTGGGCTACAGGTTACAACTCAGGAGTCCCCAGAAAATCAGGGCAGGTGAGATATTTTTGGTAGCTTTGAAAAATAGAAACTCTGGTGTGCAGATCACCTTGGGGTTTTCCGCTATCGAGGGGCCAGGAAAGAAAGTGAAGGGTTTGGCTAAGTCTGCACACTCTGGCATATGGAACACACAGAATGATAATGTTTGATGTTTCCTACTAATTATACTCACATTGTGCTTTCTCTCAATCTCTTTAGGAAAAGAGCACATTTATAGCTTGTGATATTAAAGAGTTTTATTTTATGGCACATTTTAATCACCTGAGGACAACTCAGGTTGAACAGACCTCAAACAATATGGACTTGCTGCGAACTAGGAAATTGGAACGTGGTATCTCCTTGCAGAATCCAGGATATTCTCTGGAATTCAACTTTACTGGGGACTTGGGGGGTGGTTGGAGGCGGGGTGGCTGGATTAGAGAAAGGCAAGAACACCCTGGGTCAGCTATTAGAAAGGCGGGGACTCAAATGCTGGGATGCTGACCAGAGGGCTCCCTCCTACTTCTCATTTCTCCAGCCCCCACCATCTGGGAGCTCCCATGGCTTTCCTATGCATCCTGAGACATTGGTGGTGTCTTCCTCACATTTAATTCCTGCAGGGAGTCTAGGTAAAAGATAAGCTACAGCCCAGCAGAAATTTGGACAGAGAAGCAATAAGGAGAGTGCCCTAAACCATCCCTCAGTGCTGGTCACCAGCTGGAACAGCCCTGGAGGAATCTCGTGGGTGGGAAAATGTCCTACCTGACATGAGTCTCCAGTGTAGTGAGGGGGGCAGACACACATCTCCACATCATGTGCTATGCGTCCACTTCCTGTGTTGGAGGCCTCCTCCAGCCCCACCTCACCCAGGGTGAGCCGCTGCGTCTCGGTGAAGTGGAGGCCTCTGATGCGCACACCTGCCAGTCTAGACAGCACGGTCATCAGCTCTTCCCTAGACACTGGGGCTCGGCTGCTGGCGTGTCTGAAGTTTTTCTACACATGGAAACAGAAAGGCAGGGTCTTTCTTAGGCAAGTTCACTTCCAGGGATTCTAAAGAGGCAGACACCCAGAGTGAATCAAAGAAAAGACATATAAAATGCATAAGGAAAAATAAAGAAATGCATAAGGAAAAATAAAGTAGATGGGGAAGTACCTCCTAGAGCAATTACATTCAGAAATCAGATGTCCCAGGTTATTCTCATGAAGGGAGAAAAAAATGAAGGCAGGAAATAAGGTGCAATAAAGCAAAATAAAATTTCCCAAGTTTACACCTATTTTTAAATGTACTTTAGTTTGGGTAAACATAAGATGAATGAGAAAGATATAGGAAAGGAAGGTATATGTTAATAGAAACTGAGTCATGCAGGTTAGGTCATTCATTAAATGTAAATAATTGTGATGGAAAGTATAATCTTTTATTGCACACACTCATATTATTTTATTTTAATTTTTTATTGTGGTAACAAACACATAACATGAAAGTTACCATCTTAACCATTTTTAACTGTACGGTATTATTACCTATAAGCACAATGTCACACAACAGATCTCTAGAGCTTACACATCTTGCAAAAGGGAAACTATATACCCATTAAACAACTACTCCCCTTTTCCCACTTTCTCCCATCCCCTGGCAATCACCATTCTAATTTCTGTTTCTAGGAGTTTGACTAGTTTCGATAACTCATATAACTGAAGTATTTGTCTTTTTGTGATTGGCTTGTTTAACTTAGCACAATGTTTTCAAGGTCCATCTATGTTATCACATAATGTAGAATTTCCTTTATTAAGGCTGAATAATGTTCCATTGTATATATACCACATTTTTAAAAATCTAGTCATCTGTTGATGGACATTTAGGTTGCTTCTTGGCTACTGTGAATAATGCAATGAACTTAAGTGTGCAAATATCTCTTCAAGATCCTATTTTCAATTCTTTTACATATATACCCAAAAATGAGATTGCTGGATCATGTGGTAATTCTAGTTTTAATTTTTTGAGGAACCTCCATGTTTTCCAGAGCAGGTGCACCATTTTACATTTCCACCAATAGTGTACAAAGGTCCCAATTTCTCCACATCCTTGCCAACGCTTGTTATTTTCTCTCTGTGTGTTTTTTTTAATACTAATCATCCCAATACGTGTGAGGTGGTATCTCACTGTGGTTTTAATTTGCATTGTAATGATTAAGTAATGTTGAAAACCTTTTCATGTAAAAGCTCACATTCTTAACCTTTATATTCTGTTGTCTCCTTTGAACTCAGTTTTCACATCTCTTAAATAGGCATAATAATACCTAATCTAAAGTAAAGTAAAGTAAAGTAAATTATACAATGTATATAAAGTGTTCAACACAGTGCCTAGCATGTAGAGACATTCAGTAGATGGTAGCAATTATTACTAACATATAAATATAATACTTACATAATTTTAATTTATATTTTAACAGCTTGAGGTATTATTTATATATAATAATATTCCCTCATTTTAAGTATATGATTTTTAATAAATTCACAGAAGCATACAACCATCACCATAATGTAATTTTAGAACATTTTCATTATGCCAAAAAGAACTGTCAATTTGTAATCACTACCCATTCCCACCCCCAGGCACAGGCAATCGCTAGTCTACATTCTGTCTCTATGGATTTGCCCATGCTGGAAAATTCATATAAATACCAACTTAATTTCAATAGTATACAAAGCTTTTCTTTTATTAGCTTCATTCCCTCCCTTGCTCCTTTGCTCTTTTGTTGTCATACAAACTACATCTTTATACATTGTATGCCCAAGAGCACAGATGTGTAATTATTGCTGTAAATAGCTGTCTTTTAAATCAGATAGGAGCAAAAAAGTCACAAGCAAAAGATGTACTTTTATACTTATGCTTATGCTTTTACTTATACATATACTTATGCCTTTTACATTTACCTATGTATTATCATCACCTTTACCAGTGCTCTATTCCTCCATGTGGGTTTGAGTTACTGTCTAGTGTCCATTCTTTTCAGTCTGAAGGATTCCCTTTAGTATTTATGGTAAAGAAGCTTGGCTAGTAATGAATTCTCTCAGGTTTTTTTAAATATATAATGAAATGTCTTCATTTTACCTTCATTTTTAAAGGATTTTTACTGGATACATAACTCGTGGCTGACAGTATGTCTCCTTCTGCACTTTGAATACGTCGTCCACTGCCTTCTGGCTTCCATGGTTTCTGATGACAAATCAGCTGTCAGTGTTATGGAGGCCACTTGTATGTAATGAATTGCTGCGTTCAAGATTTTCTCTTTGTCTTTCAGCATCTTTATCATGATGCGTCTGTGCATGGATCTCTTGCATTTATACTGCGTGGGGTTTATCGAGCTTCGTGGGTATAGATTAATGATTTTTATCAAATATGGGAAGTTTGTACACTATTCCTTCAAATATTTTTTCTTTCCC